TGTTGTTGTTGTTGTTGTTGTTGTTGTTGTTGTTGTTGTTGTTGTTGTTGTTGTTGTTGTTGTTGTTGTTGTTGTTGTTGTTGTTGTTGTTGTTGTTGAGTTTGTTTACAAGTTGGCAGAGAGGGGAGGGAGAGAATTAGAAACCAAAGGTAGTTGAGGACCCGCGATAGATACCTTGTAACTTTTCCTTGCCCTTTTTGGTTGGCCCTGTTCTCCACGCATGCAATGCATGTCCAGCTCTTGTTTGTGACTTTCGTGGGAAAGAAAAATATTGAGAAAACATCATCCCATCGCAACCGTCCCGGACATCTTCGACGCCTTGGGCCAGGCTCAAGCTCGGCTGTGGCTCCTCCGCCTCTTGCTCTGCTCCGAAGCCATGTCATATTACCTGACCCATGAACATCATCATCCTCCTCCTTTTTTTTTCTTGTAACCCCTTCCCTCCCTTACCGTTCGATGATGAGTTTCATTGCACGTGCCTCACTACATCATCTAGAGCCTGTGCAAAGTAGTGGACGTTGCCCGTGTTCAACCCAGCCATACTGATCCGGCCATTCTTGGTCATGTACACATGCCACTTCTCCCTGATGGCTAACACCTGCTTCTCGGTGATGCCCGTGAAACTGAACATGCCGATTTGACTCGTAATGTGATCCCAGTTGCCAGGAGTGCCCAACCGGTCGAGCTCGGCTTTGAGAGATTTCCGCATCTCAATGATGCGCCCGGACATGGTGCGCAGATCGTGTTCCCATTCCTTGAAGAGTTGTGGGTCGTTCAGGACGAGGGAGGCGATACGTGCGCCGTATGCGGGCGGATTGGAGATTTCGGAGCGCTGCAGTATGGCAAGTTGGGAGGAGACACGTTTCACAACGTCCTGTGCGTTGGCCCCAGGAGCAGCCACGAAATGGAATGCGCCCGCTCTTTCACCATACAGACCAAAATTCTTTGCGAAGGATTGAGCAATGACCAACTCGAAGCCCTGCTCCACGAAATAGCGGATCGAAAAGTTATCCTGTGCTAGGTCCCCCGAAGCGAAACCCTGATACGCGCAGTCGAAGAAGGGAAATAGTTTGCGCTCGCGCATGACTTCGGCAATCTGCTTCCATTGGTCCGGCGTTGGATCGACACCAGTGGGGTTGTGTGCGCAAGCATGCAATAGAATGATGCTTCCTTCAGGCGCAGATTTCAGGGCAGAAAGCAGACCTTCGCAGTCGAGCATTTTTGTTTTGGAGGAGAAGTAGGGGTAGGACTTGATCGGGAGGTGGACATTGGTGAAAATTTGGTTGTGGTTCGCCCATGTCGGGTTGGATAGGTAAATGGCGGGCGTGGGTTTGGGGAGGAATTTGGCGAGGAAGAGGCCGCCCAGATGGACGGCGCCCGTTCCTGAGATAGTCTGGAGACTGCAGGCCTGCAAGAAACAGATGGTATGTCAGTCCAAAGGGCGAAAGGTGAGAAAGAAGTGGAATTGGTAGAAAGTGCATACCCGTCCTTCTCGGATTGCGGGGCTGTCTCCACCAAGGATGAGTTTCTGCGCCGCTGAAGTGAACTCTGGGAGACCAGCGATGGGGAGGTATTCGTGGTTGAGGTTAGGATCGTTCCGGAGGATCTCATCGGCCTGGCTGAGGGTTAGTCGAGCTCGCGCATGTCCTCGACGTTGCCGAGGATCATGGATAGCACACCTTCTTGACGACAGGCAACACCCAGGGTTTCGCATTGTTATCCCTGTATGCGCCAATGCCCAGATCAACCTTCTTGTCAAAGGGATCTCTTCGGTAAGCCGCCATCAACCCAAACAGAGGGTCCTCGGGAGCCTGGGGGACGACATTGGCGTCGAACAGGGTCGGGGCCGTATCGGTTGACACAGAACCCATTGTGTGATTCCTGATCTGAGTCAGTCGGGCGGGAGCGTTGGTTTGCGAAGAGGAACTGGAAGAGGAAGACGAGGTTGAGCGGAAAGAAGAGTCAAAAGATTTGGGTTTTGGCGGTGAGGGTGAGGGCATGTCGAGGAATTTATTCAAGCGTGGAGTGACGGAGAGGGAACGTCTTGGGGAAAGGCACGAAAGGCACGAAAGGGCGTTGCGGAACTTCATCCTTTAGGACGGGCGGATGCACGATATACCACTACCAAGTACCCAAGCCACGCACGAGATTTAGTGCCATGAGGTTGGTCCAGGGACCAGAGACTAGTACCTCGTAAGCCCCTCCGTACGGGAACATGGGGACCAGAAAAAAAAATAAAAATCGGCTTCAGGTCAGATGGACATGCT